GTAAGGTACCACTCAGCTTTTTAGGATAGTTTAGGTCTAGTTTTGCCCATAAATGGGACAGTGTAAAGGAATTTTGAAGACATCTTTGCTAACTATGATTTGTGATACTGCTTTAAACAACCCTTTACCCCAACCACCCGTATCTCCTACACCCAGCCAGATCAATTCCAGGAACACAAGCATAGTTTGGAAGTGAGAGCCTGGCCCTTTAGCATGCAAAATTACATCCAGAAAAGTTAATATGTGTCCAAAACAGGTAAAGATCTCTGGGTTACCTCTGCTTGGTATACATTGGAATGGATGGCTTGGTGGGGCTGCATTTGTTTATTTATTTTTTTCTGAGGGACTGAACACAACATGGGCCATTGAAAGTCATCAATATAGGAAAAGAACCTAACAGTAAACAATTATTCAGGCGTCTTCTGTCTCCCTTTGCTTTCCAATTATGCCTTTCTTTTGCTTGAATCTGACCTTGCATTTCAATTTCAACCATCAATGGAAGTTGTCTAATTATATTGCTAATATATCCAAAGGAAACCCCCCCCCCCACCAAAATCTGTCTGTTGAGAGGCACAGTGATTTCAACCCTGTGGTTACAGGTATGTGCTTAACTGACTTACACTTAGGAAAATGGATCTTTGGGTCCTAGATGAGGCACAGCTAATGTGAACTATCTAGCTGTTTTTTTTTTCCTTTTCTAATGGCAAATGGGTTGGCAACTGTGTTTGGAAAACAATATTCTAAAGCCATCGGATGTTGACTACTGTTCTCCTACAGTAGATCAGACAAAGGGGGCCACAGGAAGAACAGCCAGTAAATCCCTCTTTTCAGTGACTCAAGCTCAAATAACTTTCCAGATGGTTCTCTGGCGTGTCATTCCCCAGGCCTAAATTGTTTTGTACCTTTAGCTATTCATATGGCCTTTGGCTTCCTTCTTCCCCAAACTGATGACTCATCGGTGAGTATAAGCATCTAGAAAGAGGATTAGTTCTTCTTTGCCAGAAGCAGCCAGTAGTATAGTGTGTAGAGCACTGGGTCTGGAGTCAGACCCGAGTTCAAATCTGGCCTCAGATACTGATTAGCTGTGTGGTCCAGACTTAAACTCAATTTTCTCAACTGTCAAATGGGGATCATAACAGCACCTATCTCATAGAGTTGTTGTGAGGCTAAAATGAGATAATATTTGTAAAGTGCTTAGTACAGTAGTTGCACGTAGTAGACGCTATATAAATGTTAGCTATAATTATTATTAATCTGTCATCTAGACTTTAAACTCCTTGAGGGCAAGGACCATGTATGATTTTTCTTTGTTTCTCCCCCAACCACCTTGCATAGTATATACACATATAGCAAGCAGTTAACAAATGCTTTTTTGGATGAATGAACAGATGATAATAAATTTTACCATTTTCTGTGACTAGCAGAATATGACTGTCATAAATACAGAGAGCCTCCTATATTGCTTCTTGGTCCTAATCCAGAGCATTATGTTAAAGAAGCACCATATCGTGATCAGCAGGATCAGCTTTAATTTACAGCTTTAATTTAGCACTGGAGGGCTAAAGTACACTAGCTTGCTGTGGGATTCCTGGCAAGTCACTTAACCTACCTGTTTCATTATTACAGAAATACAGGATCTCTTAGTTGGAAGGGATCTTAGCAATCATGTCCTTGACCAAAAATCCCCCTGTTACAGTATCTTCAATAAGTTACCATCTGGCTTCCACTCCAACTTTTGAATAGCTCTAAATATTAGCAATGTTTCTCTTCTATCAAGCTGAAACCTGCCTCTCTGAAATTTCAACCCATTGCTCTAAATTCTACCCCTGAGGCCAAGCAGAACAAGTTAATCCCCCTTCCACCAAACAACTCTTTAGACACTTGAAACAGCTCTGATAGCTTCCCTCATATCCCAAGTCTTCTTTTTTCCATGCTAAACACCTCCCTTTCCTTTCTCCAGTTTTCATGTGGCATGTTTTCTATATGCTCTCCAGATTGTCAATGTCCTTTCTAAAATATGGTGTTTAGAACTCAGCAAAATGAGCCAGTTGTGGTCTGACCATGTCAGAGGACAATGGGACTACATCACCTCCTTGGTTTGGTTACCATGCCTCCCAGTTGGAGTCTAAGATCCAATTAGCTTTTTCTGTTTTGTTTATTGTACGGGTGAAATTCCTCAATGCTCTCATACTAAAAGGCAACCAATACTAACCTAAATGAACAATATTTTTCCTAAAGGTAAAGAGATATTTTTTTCAGACTTATTAATCTGGCACTTTCTATGAGCAGAAGTAGCCTTTGAATGTGAATTAAATACATTGGATATATATACATACATACATATACTCTCACATGTATATAACATATATCAACACATACATATAGTATAATATGGCCATGTCTCATATAGGAGACATGCACATATGTGTGTATATGTGCACATGTGCATAAATGTGTACCCATATGCAGATGCATATATGAGTGCATACATGCATGTGTGTACATATACACACATATAAGATATGGCCAGTGGTGAACTTTGTACTTCACTGTACAATTTGTAACAAGGGTTTTATTTTTGGTTTTTTTTTTCAGTGGGGGTGAAGGGGTGGGAGTCAAGGTGGGAGGGAAACTATTCAGGTATTCTAAGCAACGTGTGATGAAGACCCGACCTGCGGTCATGGAATTATAGGATCATGAAATCATAGATGTAGAGCCAGAAGGGCCCTTACAGGCATCTAGCTGAACCCCCTTCATTTTAGAATTGAGGAAATCCAAGTGCACAGAGGCAAAATGACTTGGTCAGGGTCCTTTGCACTGATAGCAGGTGGCAGGGTTGGAATTTAATTTCTTTTTTTTTTTTTGGTGAGGCAATTGGGGTTAAGTGACTTGCCCAGGGTCACATAGCTATTAAGTGTTATGTGTCTGAGGCTGGATTTGAACTCAGGTCCTCCTGACTCCAAGGCTGGAGCTCTATCCACTGTGCCACCTAGCTGCCCCCAGGGTTGGAATTTAAACCAAGGTCCTTTGCTTCCAGGTAAGAATGGAGAGATGGGGATAGATGCGAGAGACATTGTGGAGCTAGAACTGATAAGACTTGGCAACTTATCGGCTATAGTTAGGTGGTGAGATGATTGGAACGATGATCTAATCCTCAATAGAAATAGGAATTGGTAGGTTTAGGGGGAAAGAGAAATCAGTTTCAATTTGGACTTCCTGATTTTGTGAAGCCTACAGGGTATCCAGGTGGATATTTTAAGGTAATATCCATCCCTGATTTTTTAAAAATGTGGGTTGAATCGTGGACCACATCAGTCTCTTCCCTCATTCTTCTCTGTTTCTTCCACTAATTAGAAGAGATGTTGGAAAATGTGCTATTTTCTGCCACTTAGAAATAAGCCATTCCAATCTCCTCATCTTACAAATGAGGAAACTGAAGTGTCAGTAAGGTCAAGTACCTGGTCCAAGGCCACACAGCCAGCTAGTCAGTGGCAGAGGTAAGACATGCATCCAGTTGTGACATCATGGAAAGAGACCCAGCTCTGTAGTCAGGGACTTGTGTTCAAATCTTGTCTCTGCTGCTTAGCTGTGTGACCTTGGGCAAATCACTTAACTTTTCTTGGCATTCAGTTTCCTCATCTATTCAAGAAGAGAGTTGTGTTAAGGCCTCTGAGATCCCTTCTAGTTCTAAACCTATGATCCTATGTTTCTGACTTCCAGTCCTGTATTTCTATCATGTCATAATGCCAGATGAGAAAACTCAGAAAGAGGTTCAGTGATTCCAAAGGACTCATGATGAAACATGCTGTCCACCTCCGGTTGGAAAGGCAGTGGACTCAGGGTGCAGAATGAGACATATATATTTTTAAATATGGTCAATGAAGGAATTTGTTTTGCTTGACACTGAATATTTGTGACAAGGAATTTAGTTTTTCTTTCTCCCATCCCCCCAAATTGAGGTAGAGAGTAAGAAGGAGAGAAAATAGATATTTATATTTAATAAGTATCAGAGTCAAGATTTGAACGCAGCTCTTCTGATTCTAGTATTCTTTCTGCTATAATTCATGGCCTTTCTGCCCTTGATAGATCTGAAGAAAAGAAAAATCAAGTTTGATCTCCCTGGCTCTGGTGAGGGCTACATATAAACTGTCCTTGAAGAAAAAAATGTCTGTTCTCTGAAAGGAAATGTGATTTCCTTTAGTTCTAGTGTCTAGTAACTCTTCGGAGAAGGAAGTTTATTCTTAAATACAAATTAAATTTCCTTAGCACCCATTTAAAACCATATTCTATTGTATTCTGCTAATTAGAGTTGGAAAATAATTAGGCAACCTCTCCCACATAATTATCTTTGGTAGATTTGAAGCAGGTGACCAGAAACTTAGACGTATTAAAGTAAAACAAAAGAAAAAGAACTTTGACTTTGTTTCAAAATCTATACCAAGGTCTCTACATGTGGTGGTAGCTGGGGATTTTTATTTCTTTTGTAGACTTTGAAGATACATGGTTTGTAGGGAGTTAGGCGTCATACTAATTATGGTCTACTAACAGGGACCTTAAAGGGCCAGGCTTAGGAATTTTGATTTGTCTGTGTGTGTGTGTGTGTGTGTGTGTGTGTGTGTGTGTGTGAGATGATTACTAATCACATGAAATTTCAGTGCATTTTTTGGTAGGAATTTTAATTTCTACTTAGAATTCTTGATCAAGTGAAACTTCTGTGAAATTTTTAAAAAATGTGTCATAAAAGGGCAAATTATAGTTCATAATGATAACATGATGATAACATACTTGATGACTTTATGCCACATTCCATTATGTAAAAATTGGACTCACCATTAGTACTAAATTCTGGGTGCTACTCTGAGATCACAGTCATAGAAGGGACCTGGAGGGACCTAGAGGTGCCAAGTCTAACTCTCTTTTTCTAAGCAGAACTGTACCTATTCTGTCCCAGAAAGATAATGGTTTACCCCTTCATAATTATGCTTCCTTTTTGTTTCCAGATGATGTTGGCCCACCTCCTTCCACAGACATCAATCGAAATGAAACTTTTGCCAAGATCATTTTTAATCCTAGTATCATACAACAAGCCAAGATTGCCCAGAATGGCATTTTAGGTGATTTCATCATTAGATATGATGTGAACAGAGAGCAGAGAGTTGGGGACATTCAGGTAATGAGTTCATGATTTTGGTTTTCAATGTTTGCTGTCTGCTAATTTCAGTTGGACTCATCTATCTAAATGCTATCTTGACTGTTAGTTCATGTTCTTATTGCTGAGTAATGTTTAAGTCTCCGAGAAATCCATTTGCTAGTTTCAGTTGGACTCATCTATCTAAATGCTATCTTGACTGTTAGTTCATGTTCTTATTGCTGAGTAATGTTTAAGTCTCCGAGAAATCCATTTGCTAGTTTCAGTTGGACTCATCTATCTAAATGCTATCTTGACTGTTAGTTCATGTTCTTATTGCTGAGTAATGTTTAAGTCTCCGAGAAATCCATTTGCTTTCTCAAGACATATCTGTAGGTACAGCTCCCTCCCTGTGGGTCAGAGGTCCACATTGCCTGTTTCCATAAGCAGGAGACCAGGTGGAATCAATCCTCTCTTTTACCCTGTAGTATATATATATATATATATATAATATATATATAATATATATATATATATATATATATATATATATATATATATATATATATATATATATATCTCATGCAGTTATAATTTAAGTTTGGTATTGATATTAATCAAAGTGACTCTTCTGTGGCTAATTTGTCTTGAGATTTTCTTGCTCTCAAGAGTCGGTGGGCATGTCAGAATACTATGATGGGTACTTAGAATGGACACTTAACAAACATAAGCGTAGGATGCTCACCATGTTAGATGCTAAGGAAATGTCTGGTGACAAGAATTGTGGAATTCCAAAGAGGCCAGAGCCACAGGAAACATTCAACAATGACATCCTCCCTTCTTTCCAACAGGTTCTGAATGACTACTTTGTACATTACTTTGCCCCCAAAGACCTCCCTCCTCTACCCAAGAATGTGGTATTTGTGCTTGATAGCAGCGCATCCATGGTGGGAGCCAAACTCAGGCAGGTGAGTGAGGGCCAGCTGTCTTATTGTTCTTTGTTTTCCTCCACGCTAGGCTGCGGACAATAGTCTCTTCTGAGTAAAGTCCAGCTGTTGCTGAATATCATTACAAAGTCACAGGGTATAACTGATTTTGCTTGGAAACAACACTCCATAACTGATTGGGTTAAGCTATTGTAGTAAGTCATCGTTTTAGCATGATGGGATCGGGGACGGTGGAAGGACCGACTAAATCTAATCTAATCATGCCGCGGCAACACTGATACCAAGGTGACTGGTAGCATGAGGAATGTGATTATGATCGAGATGTGGAAGAGGGGTCAGATGTGTTTTTCTTGGCTCTGGAGGGCAAAACTAGAAGCAATGAGTGGAAGGGAAGGAAAGGCAGTTTTCGGTTGGATAGGAGAAAGAACATGCTAACCATTAGAATCACCCAAAGTAGAATGGACAGTCTCAAATGTGTTGGTTTCTTTTTCAATGGAAATATTGAAACACGGTTGGAGGATCACTTTTTGAGGATGTCATAGGGAGAATTCTTGGTCAAGTAAAGACTGGACTAGATGGATTTTGAGGACCATTATAACTGATTTTCTGTGAAGGTAGTGACTAGAGTCAGTTGTATTAAACTAAAATGAAAGCCTATTGACCCACACATTGACTTAGAAAACTGTGAATTAACTTTATGTCATATTTTTACTTATTTTGCTACACATTTCCCAGTTACATTTTAATCTAGTTCTCTCACCTGTGGACTAGATTATTGTTCAAGAAATAATTATGCTTAGTGATTGGATTCAGAGAATCTGGGTTTCAAACTCGGCTCTGCTACTTATTATCTATGTGACCTTGGGCAAGTCATTTAATGAAACTGGATGGCATAGTGCATAGTGATGGACTTGGAGTCAGGAAGACTGGAATTCAAATCCTGCCTCAGACAATTATTGCTGTGTGACTGTAGGCAAGACATTTAACTTCTTTGGGCCTCAGTTTCCTCATATGTGAAATGGGAATAATAACAGCACCTACATCACAGGGTTGCTGTGAGGATCAAATCAGATAATCCATGTTGAGTATTATTGTATAAGTGTTAGCTATTAATTTCTCTGGGCCTCAGTTTCTTAAACTGTAAAATAAGGGGGCTAGACTTGGCATCTTTCACCTCCCTTCAGCTCTGAGTCTATGGTCCTGGGATGCTTTCTGGAATTCATCAGAGCAAAGTTGTGTCATGTTACAGCATGGTCTTGCTGCCATGTATATGCTCATCTTTCCCATCACTCCTACTCTCCATCTCTTGCTTTTGCTCTGGGATAGTAATTACTTCAGGCAGTTAGCACAGTGAACAGAGCTCTGGCCTTGGAATCAGTAAGCCCTAAGTTCAAATGTGACTTCAGACACTTACTAGCTATGTGACCCTGGGCAAGTTGCTTAACCCTGTTTGCCTCAGTTTCCTCACCTATAAAATGATCTGGAGAAGAAAATGGCAAACCACTCCAGTATCTCTGCCAAGAAAACCTCAAATGGGGTCATGGAGAGTCAGGCATGACTGAAAACAACTAAACAACAACAACAACGATAATTAAATCAAGGGTATTATTACTTCTGGAAAGGATACAGCAGATCTGCTGTCCTGTGGCTCTGCTCATAATTCCTGTGACTCCTAGACCCAAACTCTTCCCTAGCTTCTATTCTCCTACATGTGTATGCCCTATTGGAATATGCCTTCTTGATGGCAAGAAACATCTAATTTTTGTTATCTCTAGTGCCTGGTACATTGTAAATGCTTATCCATCCATCCATTCAGATTGATGTTTATCTGAGCATGTCCCATTTTCATTATTTTCCTGTTCCCCTCCATGACCATTAGCACATTTTATATTTCAAGATCTAGATGAGGAAGATGAACGACAGAATCAGTCAATCAACAAACATTTATTAAGTACCTACTGTGCACCAGGCACTGTGCTAAGTGCTGGGGATACAAAAATAAGCAAAAGACAGTCCCTGCCCTCAAGGAGCTTTCACTCTAACGGGGGTTGGGGCAACAAGCAAACAAATGTATACAAACAAGGTATATACAAGAAATCTAAAAAATAATTAAATGAGGGAATGCACTAGAATTAAGAAGGGTTGGGAAGTGCTTCCTACTGAAGACTCCACACTATTTGATTTCCTTCCTCTTCCTTGGTCACTGAGTTATTAGAATGCCATTCTTCCCTAATCCCCAGAGCCCTGACATGTTGTTTTGGCTATGAAGTTGAAGGGTGGCTTCTTTCCAGGAGAACCACCCCAAGCTAGCCAAAAATCTGCCAGGGGCCTGTGAGCAATTTCTTAGCGTAATTGTTGTCTTGAGTAGGTTTGAAAACTGCTGACTGTTTTAGCAGCTTTCAGCTTTTCTGAAGCTATAGCAATTCAAGGGACTGTTGTTAATTGGTACTTCCTGGGGTAAAATGCTGCCACCTCTGCTAGTGAAGAGTATGTTATGAATTCCGCAGCATGAGAGTCTTTTGTGTGTTGGGGGCTTTAGCATTTCATAGAAACAGAGATGGAGGGGACCTCATAGGTCATGGGCTTCAGTCCCTATTAAAGGATGATTCTCTTCTACAACTTCCTGGGAACCAATACCTTGGTTAGCTGGATACAGTAAAAGGCATGGCATACATTTCCAGGCCTAGTGGCATGACATTGGCTGTGGAGGGCACTTGGTCTCTGTTGGGTACACTTGTTTTTGGAAAGAGTAGTGCCTCACAGCTAGGTGGTGCAGTGGATAGAGCAGCATACCTGGAGTCAGGAGGACCTGAATTCAAATCCAGCCTCAGACCAAACACTTGACACTTACTAGCTGTGTGACCCTGGGCAAGTCACTTAACCCCAACTGCCTAAAAAAAAAAAAGAGGTAGTGTCTACATGGCATGTCTAGAGACCTTGGATCACTTCCTTACTCAATACCTGGGAGGAAGCAAAAGGAAGGAAAGGTGATAGATAGCAGATAAAGCCAGAGTTATAGGGAGGCAGGTCTTGGGAGAGGAACATCCCAGTGGGGGAATCCTGGAGGTGGTGGCACAGGGCTGGTTGAAAGAGCTAGGCAGTGAGAGTTGAGGACCATAAGGCACACCATCTATGGGAAGAAAGCACGCTCCCGTCTCAGCTCCCTGGGTGAAAGCCCTGGCTGCCCTATCTGACATTGCTCTGAGGGACAGGAAATGTATTGCATTATACCTTTTTTTTTACATTCTAACTTTTGTTAGAATATTTTTCCTTATGATGAGGTGGAATTTGGCTCTTTGTAGGTTTCATACATTGTTCCTATCTATGCCCTCTGGGGGCCAAGCAAGACAAATTGAATTTTTCTTCTTAAATATTCAAAAACAGCCATCACGTCTTAATACTTTTGCCAAAGGATTACCCATTTTCCCTCAATCTCATGAACTAAGTGTCTCATCTTGACAAGCCCTGAGATATTTTATTGTGACTAATATGGTGTTGTTCAGGGGTAGGGGTAGAAGGCATTTAGAAGTCCCTGCAAAGACTCCTGGATCAAGTGTTCTAGTTTTCATAATCTACGCATAGCAGGATTATGAATTTGGAAGAAAAGTGGAATTGGCTGGGAATTAATTTTTGAAAGATTTTTGATTATTCAACATCCCATGGCCATGTTCTTCCACATGATTCCATAACATACTTACCCAGGAGGTGAATTTTGGTTCTTCAGCCTGTTGATATGTGAAGGCTGTTGTTTTCCTAGTTGTAGAGCAGACAATGACAAGCAAAAGTAGTTTGATCTTGTGCTTCCCAGGAAGGGTGGTGGAGAGGTGGAGGGGGTGCCTGCAGTAGGCAAAGCAAGAAAGAGAAAATGTCTTTTTTTTTTCATGCTACCATCTTGCTGAAAACATTGACCTTACTCTCAGTAGGGTGTGCCCACAGGAAGCATGAGAAGACTGCCCAGTCTAACAAGTACACCTTTCCTTGATCAAGGATTTTATTCTTGTCCTCTTTCACTTTCTGGGCCACCTGTACCAAAATAGCCATCACTGGTCCACCAATATTAAAGAGGCTGCCCAAAAAGACCTCCTTGGCAAGTGTGGATGATTAATGCACCTTGTAGCAGGTATTTTTCTTGCCATGGCTTTTCAAAAACTCATAGACAATTAGTATTGTTCTAGGATAACATTAGACTGGTTTCCCAGGTAGCTTTTAAAAGCTCTTCTTTATATCTTCAATTTATTCAGTAAGTTTGAGACAGAAACCAAATAACCAGTTCCGAGTTTCAAGTATGTAATTGCTAATATAAAATGAAGAATGTGGGATCCAGTGGGTATAGTGTTGAATCGATTATGATGGACTCTATGTTCATTATTTCCCTCTCCTCCACTGATTTGCTATACTTCCTAAGATTTTATTTTCTCTAACAGTGATCAGGGCAGGTCTCTCCCTAGGAGGTATTAGGAAATCTCCTCTCCTCTCTGTCTTCCCCTCTCCTCTCCTCTCCTCTCCTCTCCTCTCCTCTCCTCTCCTCTCCTCTCCTCTCCTCTCCTCTCCTCTCCTCTCCTCTCCTCTCCTCTCCTCTCCTCTCCTCTCCTCTCCTCTCCTCTCCTCTCCTCTCCTCTCCTCTCCTCTCCTCTCCTCTCCTCTCCTGGATGTCCAGGAGCTACTCATGGGCCAGTCCCAATCTGATCAACAAGTCAGCTTTGCCTTGCTCCATTGCTGACCTGGGCAAGTCTGCCCCTCCTTAGGCAACCTGGTGGCCCTGCCTGACCTCACCCCCCTCAGCCATCCACATCTACTCCCGAAGACTTGCCATATTAATGCTAACTTAATGTGGGCATCTAATTAGCTTAGCCCACTGTAGTTCAGAACTTCTGAGCTGAAGTGATCCACCAGCCTCAACCTCCCTGGTAGCAGGAATTATGCACGTGCCCCTCCAGGCTTGGCTGTTTTGTGTTTTTCTTTTTCTTTTCTCTTTTTTTTTAGGCAATTGGGGTTAAACAACTTGCCCAGGGTCACACAGA